GTATTTATAGCTCATGAATCTTGTCTCTTTATGAAGATGAAGGGCTAAAATGTAATTTCTCTCTTATGATATTTTGAGTTGTATTCTACTTAAAATAATATATATCAGATCAATATAAAATATTAAGGGACTCCCATGAGGTCCTGAAAAGATTTTTAAGAGGGTGTTAGGCTTGAAAAAAATGTCTAGTCCTAGTAGAGATGAAAAATTGATCTAAAGACGCTGTTTAAATCCAAACATGTTAGGCTCGAGCGTGGTAGCTCGAGCCTATATATGTGGATGCTAGGGTGCATGCCTAACACTAAAGGTATGGGCAACACACTCAGCACCAGCTAAGTGTATTCCTAAATAGGCGTACACCCATTAATAGTAGTTAGGCTCTAATTTGGTAGTCCTAACCCATAAAAATTTATTTTTGAGCTTTGTGAAAGGGTTTTTAAGGCCCTTTAAATTTTAATTTATCAATAGAAAAACATAATCACTAGCTATGGTCAAATAAGCCTTAGAGTCCTGAACTTACCATGTGAGTTGGATAAGACCTCAACATAATATAGCTTCTCATCAGCACATGGATACGAGGTAGATGGTTTAAATTTGAGTCTGCAATCTATTTTCCTCTTGAAAAAATAACCCAGTAGAATGGATGACACGACGAAAAGATTGATGTCTTCTCCTAAGTGTAGGAGTGTCGAAGTAATAAATAACCCGGCAAGACCGGGGTCGAACCACATGGAGGTTAATTGTATAAATTATAGATGACAATAACAACAACAACAACAATAACAATAACAATAATAGTAGTAATCTTTGATTATTCATTATCTCTGCTGGAACTGTATCGTGTGGGTCTTTAATTAGGTGTTTATATAACTTAAGAACTGCTTTTAAAATAATTTTAAAGTAAAGATGAATAGTTTCAACAGACCTATAGTATATACCACCAATAAAACAAAATCTTTGGTTTTGGCCTATAATTTTTAAGAACACAATTACTTGCTTTCTAATGAACACATTTTGAGTTGATCGTAATAGGTCATGAATTGTGAGAATATCACACAATTTATATAAGACAACTGGTTTCATAAGAATTTGTTCAACGCAATATCTATCACCTTAATTCAAAATACTATCCATATAGAATTATCGTTGAGCAATTGCATTTATACGTGGTTCTCTTGGTATATAATTTCTATTTCTTTCTTGTTCAATAATAACTACCCCTATAATTATCGCAGTTACAGCTGCTCTCATACTTGCTGCATAAATAATCTTACTATCCATAACAAAAAAGTGAAGTTTGTGGCTAATAAAACCTAAGGGAAATAAACATTAAAAAAGCATATAAAATAGTTACATAATCAATACAATAAATCATGATCAAAATTATGGTAAAAAAAGCTAATTCCTAATATAAACAATGCCTTAAAGAAAATAATTATACAATGAATTTTGTATCCCAAAACAAACAATATAATAATTTTTTAACTGACTCAAGTTTTCTACCCAAACCATTTCAGTTCTTTATAACTGTATATAATCATAATTGTTGTAACCCAATTTTGGATTCACTAAGATTTTCTCGAATGTTATTTTATTTTATTATTCATAAAAAATCCAAAAAAATTAAGAAAAAAAGTTTAAAATTTTAAAATATATTTTTCTTGGGTCAACCGCATCTTTTCATACAAACCGATTCTACCAAGTCAATATGAGCAAAACCATGTCGACCAGGATAAAAAATGAGAACCTAACTCCATACAGAACAGTCCATAAAAAAACATTGGAAAAAAAAGCTCTAAACAACGACATAAAGGAACACCCTTTAGGTCGATCCTATCTAGGTCCTCCTATATACACAACAAACCCAACAATCACCAAGCAATTAGCCAAAGAAAAGAGATAATCATGATTGATTTATCCATTATATGTTGAACAAAACTCATGTTGGTTTTGTTATAAGAAAAACACAACAACTAATACTTTCACTTTATTATTTTCATATGTTTTTTTTATTTATAATTCTGAATGTTTAAGGTGACTATATATAGCCTTAAAAGTCCTACTTATATTAAGATTCTTATTCTTATTTAAGGTTTATCCTTATCTAACTAAGATAAAAAATAATTAATTAGCTAACTCTTAACAATAATAAAACTCCAATAGATAATAATTTTAATATTGTAGAGTTCTAACAATATTAGAAATTTTACAAACTTTAAATCTTATGAATCTAAATCCTAATTGATATTAAACTCTAGTACTTACCCTCAATATCATTTGTCATCATTCTTTTATTTTTTCCTTATCTTTATGACATCCTGCCTTAATAATGTTAATGTTCTAGCTTTCCTTATCTTCATGACATCCTGCCTTAATAATGTTAATGTTGTATGTATTCCATCATTACCAAACATAAATGTCTTTGACATTGGCAAAGGTAGTTTCACCATTGTGCTCAACATCAATTGCATTCTTCTAAATCATGTGCGTGTTTCCAAACCTTCAACTAGATTCATAGCTTTTTCAACTGAGATTAACTTTTAAGTTTGCACGCCTTTGATTTCTTGTAGCTTATCTTTAATGTTATCAATTAAATCTTTTAATTATGCATTTTTAGCATCATAAAGATTTGAAAATTTTCTCTTGAAGCTTCTACCCTTAACATTATTAGCCATAAAATTTTCTTTCACTAAACCTAAACATTTTTTCTGCACAACACCTTCTTCCTTGTTAAGAGATGGAGCATTGGATCCATAAAGTAGAGGAAAGTCTCTAGCCACTAAAACTCTTCTCCTAAAAGAATAACTGTTATGAATAATTTTTTTTAACTAGAACAACAACATTCATCTTTGTAGATGACTACTCTAGCTTTGCGTCCAACTTTTGTTCTTGTATATTTTTTGAACAATTCTTTAAAGATATTGGAGATTTAGAATTATCTTCTTCATTAAGATCAGAATCATTGCTATTTTCTTCTATATAACTTGGTGAGACCTTTTCATTACATATAAACATCCTTTTAATATATGCTCCAACTACTTTAGGCTTATCAAAATCATCAAAATTAATAAGCTTTTCTTTAACATCTTTTTCTTTGTATAGAAGCAAAAAACTTTTTGAAATTTGAATTTTGAAATTATAATAGAACCTTTTTTTTTCCCCAAGGATCAATAGAAAAGAGTTTTAGTTGTTGATCTGGCTCCTCATCATGATCAAGATTATGGTTAAAATCACAATCCTGATATATTTTAACATCATGTGGACCAAACAAGACATAGTTGATATTAGTTGTGCTACAAACACTAAATTTTCTTTCATACGTGGGACATGATAAACATTGCTTGTTGATATTAGTTGTGCTACAAACACTACATTTTCTTTCATACGTGGGACATGATAAACATCTTGAAGATGTACAAGATCTGAGTTATTACGGTGCATGATTGCATCTTACCAATATAGTTTATTAGTAATCTAAAGTTGTCAACTTCCACCACCACACAATTTCCACATGATAATAAAAATAGACATGCTTAGAAAAACCAACAAATAAAAATAAATTGCCAATGCCAAGGCTTATGCGACCCAATGCACATGGACAATAACAAATCATGCCAAACATGGGTGGACTTACTAGGTGAAGCCCATGCTCATGACCTTTTTTTTAATTAAAAAAATAGATAAATAATACATTGTTTATTTTTTTATTCAAAAATAAAATAAAATAGATAACACCTCAAGTATAGTGACAAATGACATATTGCTTGTTGGTCTAGATTAAAATCACCAAATAAGTGGTTAAAAAGTCGAGGTATTATTTTTTAGATAAAAAATCAATTTCCACCTATTTATCATAAAAAAACCTAATGAACACCCTTTAACCCTCCAACAAACTAGTTTATAAATTCAAAACATCTTTAAATCAGTTAAAAAATATAAAATAGAACTAAATAAAAAGATTTCCTAACCGTAATCTATGTTTTTAGCCCAATAGGAGCTCAAAAATATTTTAATGGAATTTTTTTTTTGAAAGGTTTTAGTGATAGTAATGTGATAGACCAATTACTTTCTTTCTTCTCCTTTATTTTTCATCAAATTCCTCTCTCTTCTCAAGTTTTAGGAAGCTTTGGGCCAAAATGATGTTTATTATTCTCTCTCCTGAAATAATCCACCAACCAAAAGTGGGTCAAAAAAAAAAAAAACAACCTAACAAACTGTCAAATTTTAATATAAGCTGCACCGAATAATTTTGGTTCAGGTACCATGCTTCAATTCGAAAGTTTTTTTTTTCTTTTTTTTTTACCCAGAGTAAGATGAAGCGGGAGACAAAAAGAATAGAAGTGGTGTTCGGACATATATATATATATATTATTTTTTAAAATGTATTTTATTTTTAATATTAAAAAATTAAAAAAAATCCGAAGCAATTTTTTTCTTCTTAAAATGAGAAAACAATGGTTCGATGGATGCGCCAAACCATCAAAAAGTGGGAGCTGCACATTCAAACTTGTTGACCACCCTTTCTTCTTCTTCTTCTTTTCTTTTCACTTTCATCAGGCTCCCTTCTATTGAAATAAACTCAATCCAGAAGGTCAAGGATCATCCCCTCTCTCACTCACGTCCTGTGTTACTTTTCTCCGTGGATGTTTTTTTTTTCCCTTTATATTTTTTTGAGCTCATTCTGATCCTTTGTCCTGATACTCTGCCCCTTTTGGCTTGTATTGATAAATTTATTACCTTGGTAAAAACCAAATATGCTAGTATTGGAATACTTTTCGTTGCCATTTCTACTATATTTGTTAATTGCTATTTTTATTTCGCCACCATGGTTGTATATTTCCTTGTTATGATTCCGCAAAGTCATGGACATAATTAATCTATTTCCCAATATTTTAAAACCATTAAGGAAAAAAAATGAAACTGATTTCACGTATTCAGTATGAAGGGGTATCATGTTTATGGTCCTGCAAAAGAGGCCTTGGATTCCATCTTCATGATCTTCAATGCACAACTCCAAGCTGCTTTAGCTTCTTTTGCACATTCATCATGTCATCTGTATTGCGACTGAGAAGAGATTCCAATGCAGCATCAGCCACTGCAAATTCATTCACATTTGTTTCTTCTTCCTCACATGCTATTCTCTGGTGTTGTATCAACTTGGAAAACAATGACCACCCACTTTTCTTTGCTTGTGACTTCGCTTCAGAAATGAATGGCAGCAATGATTCGAACACGGCGAGACTGATGGACTCAACCTCTCTTAATATGCGAATCATGGTAGCAATCTCAGGGTCTTCACTAGAGAAGGTATACTTGTTTTCAATGCCCTTCAAGTTGTTCAAGGCCTTTTTTATTGCCTTCTTTACTACTTTCCTGGATGCTATGTATTTCCTGCTCTCGCTGCCAAGACCTTGTCTTCTGCGAAGAACCGATTGAAGCTCGTGGATGTATTCTTTGGGTTGCACACGTCCAAGACCTGGTAGAGTTGCACACGTCCAAGAGCCTGAGAGATCCATCTAGGAGCTCATCAACACTTTTTTTTCCTGTGTTATCCTATTAATCCTTGTTGTCTAAGTGGCAGTTGTAAGAATTTATCAACAGAATCATACAAATCCTGAAGGCTACTTAGTTTGTGGCCTATTGATAATGAAAATGATGTAGAGGTGGCCTGTGAATCTCTCACTCAGGTAACAATCTCCCTCAAATTCTGAAATGATTAGGTGTGGTCTAGAGGGCAGACTGTTGGATCGAGCATGAAAGCTGGTTTTGGGACAGATTGGAGAGACAACCATTTTTCTTTCTCAGAGAAGAGGTCTGATGATTGAAAATATTGGTTCAACTCAACGTGGTTTCCATCTGTTGGCATCTACATTATATATATTGGGGTGAGGAATACATGAGGAATCCCATCCTCTTCAACTATTACTGATGGTAAATGTTAATGAAACATACGAGTGGTGATTACATCTGCAACATACGAGTGGTGATTTATTAATGTGTCTAATATTGGCGGTCCTGAAGCCTATGTTGTAAAACAGGAAGACAAGATCCCCATCCTTGGCTTCAGTATCTCTTGTCAAATTGTAGCTTAACGATAAGAGCTGCAGAGCTGCAGGTAGGGACTGGCTACCATTGCTGGATGATTCTACTTTCCAAAAGATAGCCATCGAATTTTTCATTGTTTTGATATGAAGAAATTTGAGTCTACCATGTGTGTGCCATTACTTTTTATATTGTTGTGTGTGGTTCCGCACCATGTGATGGTAGGACCACCACATTAATTGCTGTCTCTAGGTATTAAAATTAATGTAGTTTTGATACTGTAGTGACAGAATTAAAAATAGAAGAGAGGAGAAGAAAACCATGAGAGAAAGAGAGGAGAAGAAAACCAAGAGAGAAGAAGAGGCAGCACAGCAGTCTGTATTCTTTCTTTGATTTCCAGCTCGTTCACTGTTGAATCGGGCTGAGATTTTAACAGCAGCTTCTACACACGTAACTCTTCATTCTGAACGGTTAGATCGAACATTGGTGATGTGGAAGCTGACCATTTTGACAGAAAACGGGGCTGTCAGTATTGTGAGTTTTTCTCAAATAATTCTCCTTTAATCTTGTTGTAATCCGAGAATAAATTGTTCTTAATGATATATATGTTGTATCTCTTAGTTGAATCTGAGGAAGAATGATTGTGAACCTATTATTTGTTGATAGTGAAAGTTTTTAGGTGGACTACGGTCCTGTGGTTTTTCCCGCATCGGGTTTTCCATGTTAAAATCTTGGTATTGATTTTGTGATTATATATATTATATTTTATCATTATTTGATTCTATTTTTACTGCACAAAGAGGGAAAGAATTGAGACTTGTGAATTATGAATTGTATTCCGCTAAATTGATTCGGGTAAATTGATATCCGACTGTTCCTAATTTTCCCAACACATATCGTGCTAAATGATTAAGGTCCCAGATTATTTATGAGCTAAGACAAGGAAATTCGATATTAGAAGAACCAACTTATTCTCCTTTAGAGTATTGGTGCCCGATTGTATTCCTCAAGCATGGCCTTTTCTTATAAGAATTTCAGTTATGTTTATAGAAAAAACGACAAAGAACTTGTTAGAAAGCGAAGTAATAGAAAATGCAGCCAAGCACCTGTAAAAATCAAGAAAAACAAATTTCAAACTTCAAACTTCAAACTTCAAACTTCAAACGCCTGTAAGACAAATGAAATCAACCTCCAATTATAAACTATAAAAGAAAAAAACGGTTGAAGAATAATGAAACAGCGCCATGACTTGCTTATAAACCAATGAAATGGAACACAATTTCCATGGATGAGAGCTAAGATAATAACAAAGCCTCATTGAAACCAATTTTCTAGATAGAAGTGTCCTGCAATTTCCATTTATCCAGAACATGCTTGCACGAGGGGTCTCTTTGTTTTATCTGTTCAAGATCAAATGATAGAATAAAAATTCATATAAACGTGCAAGTCGTTTATAGAACTCTTAAATAATAGGCCTGATTGTTGCTCAACAACTTTGCAAGATCCACATACTTGATTTATCAGCCTTCATGATATGTTAGAATTCTTAATCTACTCTGAGGCCAGCAAGTGTGCAGCACGGTTCGACTGTCCTTCGTTCAGCTTAGAGCCTTTGATATTCAAACAGTGATTATCAGTGAAAATCATTTCCTTTGATCAGTAATTTAACTCACGGAATTATTAATTTTTTTATTTAAGTTTTCTTAAACTTAACAAATCCATTTAATAAATATCCTTGTTCATAGCTAGAAGTAGGAATTTATAATTTAAATTCAGATTTTTCAGAAAGAATTGTCCTTTAGAGATTCTGACCGCGAAGAGAACTTTTGTCAGAAGAAAAAAAAAAGATTTCTCTGTAATTCTGGGTGATAAAAATTGGAACTATAAGTGGCATATTTGTCTGCATTGTTTTCCCTTCAAAGTAAATGCAAAAGGTTTAGTTACTCGAACTAAAAAACTAAATGATCTTTTAAATTTTGTGAGGAAAAGCATAAGCAAATGAAAATAGAGACAAGATTTGCTGAAAATGCTATGTATATTCTGTATATATTTCAGTCATGTATAGATATAAATACATCTAGTTTACAGAGGTGTTGAGAAGAGAGACTCTAGTTTTGATCAAACGCCTGTAAAGGCTTTCGAGTCCTTCTTAAAGTCAAATTCTTTAAGTTGGTGCTGCACATTCTCGACCGGCACTGTGTTATCAGATTTGCTTGTCTTCTTATAAAAGAGAGTGCAATGCAGAGTCCAGTTTTTCAAATTCATTAACTTCTGCTTCCTCTGCCTCACAAGCTATTCTTTTGGGGTGCATTAGCTTGGACACCAAGGACCAGCCACTAAACCAGGAGAGATTCGAGCACAATGAGAGTGACTGCTTCCACTTCTTTAAGCATACTAACTATGGCTACAGCTTCATGGTCTTTGTTGAAGGGAGAGAAAGATGATTTATTTCCCATATCTTTCAGATCACTCAAGGCCTTGTGGATTGTCTTTTTTACCACCTTCCTAGAGGTCGAGTACGTCTGAATCTCACCTGAGAACACAAATTCATTTCCCCTTCTTCTCCTCATGATTGATTGAAGTTCCTGAGCACATTCCTTTGTTTGCAACAAGGCATCTCTAGCCATGCTACAAACATCCAAGACCCCAAGGGATCCGTCCAATACATCATCAACCCACTTCTCATTCTGCTCTTGGGCTAAAGATTTTTGAGTGAGAGGTAGTAGAATCAACTTATCAACACAAACATGCAAATCTTGAAGGCAACATAGTTTGTGGCATATAGATGATGAAGAAGAGGAGGTGGCTTGAGAAGCGGGTCAAATTAAATTTATTAGGGGATTAACTGGTGAAAATTAAGTTTGGGAGCTTAATTCAAGCTTAATTAAGAAGATTAAAATTTTAATTGATCAAATTTAATTTTCACAAAATTAATTGATTGAAATCAGAGGCAAAATTGCAAAAAAATTAAAGTTTAGGGGTCAAATTGAAAACATTCACAGCTAATGACTAACCAGCAAAATGCGTCGAACTATAAGAGTGCAAGTGACAAAAATCAAGGGTGAAATTGAAAGTGTAACAGTCAATTAGGGATTAAACTACATAAATCCAAAACCAGGAACCAAAGTGTAAAAGATGCCTAAATATGAGGTTCAAATTGAAGTTCGATCGGTGCTGAATTGTATTAAATCAAAAGTTCAAGGTCAATTAGGGGTGCAATTAAAATAAATTTGAAAGCTGGAGAACTAAATTGAACTTTGAAGAAAAAAGGATTAGACTACATGTTGTCTCATCTTGTCTCATCACTGTTCATTATCTTCCCCAAAAAGCTATTTAAGTCATCTATTTTACAGGTGCATTTAATATCTTATATCCATCTAATTTGACCAAACTTGCTTGCAAATGCTCACATGATATTTCTCCATAAGCCCATATGGTTCATTCAAGCTGATTGACACCACAGTGGTCATGACACCAACAACCAACTCAGAAAACCTTGAATTGTGAGAGCACCACAGTGGTCATGGCACCAACCTAAAGTAACCAACTCAGAAAACCTTGAATTGTGAGATTTGACAATTCATGTAACGGTTGAGATTCTTTTCATCTGAATTAAGGGCAGAATTTTTTTCTACTAAAGACAAGATTACCCTCTTTCTATTCTATAAATACCAATGGATTTCATGGCCAGATAAGGAAGAAAATCGGGTCCAAAGTTAGCTAAAAACTAGCCTTCCTCCCCTGAATTTTTCTATTTTTTATTGTCTCTCTCTCTCTCCTCTCTATTCTCTCTTCTAAATGCAGGGGTGGCCAACTAGTGGTTTTGGTGACATGTGATAGAGCTGGAGGAACGGGTAGTGGTTGAAAAGGCAACAGTGAAAAGGTAGTGTCTTTTCAGCCACTACCCGTTCCTCCAGCTCTATCACATGTCACCAAAACCACTAGTCGGCCACCCCTGCATTTAGAATAGTCACCATGAACATCTTTCTCTCTCTCCTCTTTAAAACATTTCTTCTTCCCTTTATGACCAACACCGACCATCATTTCTTGCAACAACTCCTCCTAAGCCACCATCCAGACCTTCTCATCGCTGCCACGACCTATTACACTAGGCAAGCTTCTCTTCCCCTCTATAGTCTGCAACCATTTTGGTTGCATGCAAAATGTGAACTACTAATCATGTTCTACAATTAATTAACCTTCAAGATGGGTCGAAATTGATTTAGTCCAGCTTAAATGGTCGAGCTGGGCCAGACCCAATAAAAAATATGTTGGGTTGATACTGGCCCAACCCATATATTTTTAATATTTATTTATTTATAATAATATATATTCTAATATTAAAAAACAAAAAAAATCCAAAAGAAATTCAAAAATCCTTTTAAAAATTTTGCAATTTTCTCAAATATTTTCCTACCAATTTTATATAATATCAGGTTGTATATTTGCAGTGTAAGATACAAATTCATTATTA